CGCGTTGTATACGCTCAATGTTCTTTTTTGCTTCTTGTCGTAGATCCTCTCGATCGTCTACGAAAGAAGTGACCAGTTCCCCCTGTAGTAGCTCCTGAATGTCTGGGTTATCGCGAATACGCGGATGAGCTCCAAATAACAGACGGAAAGGCGTCATTCCGATACTCCGATGTGGCGTTGTATTTAAGCATTGCTGCACAAGATCGACATACTTGTGCCATTCACCAGACTTTGGTGCAGACAGTTTTGTCATTAGCGGTATCAACGTCCTGTTCAGTCGCTCCACTTGACCGTTGCCTCTCGGAATTCCGGTCGTAATCAGCGAATGTTCGATACCTTCCGCACGGCAATATTCCTTAAATTCCTTCGACGTAAAAGCAGAGCCTCTGTCCGAGATTATCCTTCGCGGGTTGCCGAAAACGATTGATTGTTTCTGTAGGCGGTCAATCACTTCGGCAGCAGTCGTTGATTTGGTCGCATACAACCAAACAAATTTGGAAAAGGCATCCACCACGGCAAATATATAAATGTAACTTTTCTTAGTTGATGGTAATGGTCCAAGATGGTCAATGTGGAAAGTATCCAGTGGCGTACTTCCCTTTTCAATCGGATTAAGAAAGCATTCTCGCTTTCCTTGCCGTCGTTCTGCCAAAATACATGAAATGCAATTTTGTACGATTTTTTCGACCTTTGATCGTACTCCTGGTATCCAATAATCGCTCTTCACCAGATCCTCCGTTTTGCTAACTGCAAAGTGACCACGTTCGTGTGCTCTTCGGATTATTTGCTGTTGCATGCTTTTGGGAACCACCAGCCGCATTTCATCATCGACATTTTTATACAAGAGTCCACCCTGCACGATGTAACCATCAAGCTGTCCTTGTTGTGCTTCAACCAGTTTCCTTCTCAAGTCTTTGTCCTCTTTCAGTGCTCTTCGCAATCGCGCTGTCAATCCTGCTTCGCATTCGCTGATCACTAAACAGGACGGCAGCGAGTTTCGGCTCAAGGCATCGACGTGCACCATACTCCTGCCTGGTCGATGTTCTATTGCATACTGGAATTCCTCTAATGCTAATGCCCATCGAGCGACACGTACACACAGATCCTTTTTACTCATTGTGAGGGCAAACGCACGACAATCTGTCACGATTTTAAACGGAATCCCGAGCAGGTATACACGAAATCGCTTGAGTGCCTTGATGATTGCTAACACTTCTAACTCATAACTTGTGTACTTTTCTTCCGCGGGTGTCGTCTTACCGCTCGCGTAATATATTGGGTGTAACAATTGATCCGAACTGTCTCGTTGTAGGAGAATCGCTCCGTAGCCATCTTTCGACGCGTCGGTGTGTAGTTCCGTATCCGCACCTATCTTATACAGATTCAACACCGGTCTTTCGCTTAACAGCATTTTCAATCTCGCAAAGGCATCCTTCTCAACTACACCGAAACTAAATTCAATATTTGCTCGCAGAAGATTCGATAATGGTCGCGCTATTGTCGCATATCCCGGAATGAACTTTCGGAAATACCCAGTCAGACCCAGAAACGCTTGTATCTGTCGTATGTTCGTCGGCTCAGGAAAACGTTTTACCGCTTCTGTTTGATATTCTGAAGGCCGAACAGAACCTTCTCCTATTGTATGTCCCAAAAACTCGACTTTTTTTTGCAAAAAACGACATTTTTTCCAATTGATTAGCAGACCGGCTGTACTAGCTGTTTCGAGCGCTTTCTTAAGATTTCTCAGACCGCTTACGCCATCGTCCGAAAGAACGATCAGGTCGTCCATATAAATCAATATTATTTTATCCTGAATCAATCTTCGAAAGATAGCGTTCACATACCTCTGAAAAACTGAAGGAGAATTACATAAACCAAAGGGCACTCGCAAAAATTCGTATTGTCCGTCAGGTACAATGAATGCTGTGTATCTCACACTCGCCTCGTCTATGCGCACATGGAAGAAACCATTCTTTAAATCGAGAGTGCTGAAGACCTTAGTGTCTTGCAGCTGATCTAATTGATCCTCTATCAACGGCAGCGGGTATCGGTCTTTTATTATTTTTCTATTTAGTAATCTATAATCGATGCATAATCGATGAGAACCGTCCTTTTTCTTAACCAATACCACGGGACTCGCGTAATCAGAGGAAGAGGGTCGAACGATACCCTGTTTCTCCCATTCTTCGATCTGCGCATTTACAATATTTTTCTCTGAGGGCGATAGGCGCCTTGCCTTTTGATATACTACTTCGTCATCTTTCAAAATTAATTTCATTTTGACATCAGTTTCGACTATTTGATTCGGTTTGTAATTTTCTATCACATTCGCTATCGTACGTCTCGATTCCGCGTCTTGAATATATGAGAGGTCGATTTTATCCGCTTCTCTTTTGTCATCTATATCTATCTGAAATACTTCGGGCTGAGTACCTTCACCGATGGTCTCGCCAATCGGGTCGATATGAATCGCGCCTTGTTTTATGCGTATTTCTACCGTATCTAAGAAATCCGTTCCGACAAGTAACTTCTGTCGCGACACCGTATCGGAAACGACTCTAATGAGAATCGGATAATTATGCCCGTCAATTGTAATTTCCGCTTGAAATTCTCCTAGGGCCGCGATATTCTCGGATCCTATCCCCGAAAATTGAAGCTTAGTCGGCCGAAATTGGGGCGACCCCATACTTACATATTCGTCCGCACGCATCAACGAAATATCGCTTCCCGTATCGATAAGTGCTGTGATATTCCTACCATTTACCATCACGTCCTTTGTATATTTTTTGTGTAGGGGACGTGTCACGACGCAAGCACTTGTTGCCTTATTTTTCGTTGGACACTTTGACGCGATATGCCCATGCTCTCCGCACTCGAAGCACTTAACACCTAGCTCTTTCGTTGGGCACGCTGCTCCCACGTGATCGCGGGCACCACAGTTGTAGCAACGCCTTATGTTCGCTGTTTTCTTCGCTCCATCCCTACCGACAGGACTCTTGCTGCTTTTGTTGTCCTCGCTGGTTTTCTCACCTCGTTCGACTGTTGTTGTACCACTGGTTCGTTTATCAGATCGACCTGAGTTTGTTGTGTAGCGATCGCGTATAGTTATCTTCTCAAATGCTTCCAATAAAGATTCTGTTGTATCAAATCGTTGCATACGCGTCTGGTCGCGCATCACTTTGTCTGGGATACCGTCTATGATATAATCCAATATTTCGTCAGCGGCGATTGGCACACGATTCCCCAGAATCATTTTCTCATGAAAGTATTCATGGAAAGTTTCGTCCTTTTTCCACAAGCGTCCTTCAAATTTTTTTCGAAGCGTTACTTTGCTTTGATGGTGTCGAAACATCTTCCTTATTTCACCGATGAGCGCGTCGAACGTCATCTCAACGTGTTCTGGTCTCGAGTGGAACCATTCGAGCGCCTTTTTCTTCAACTTCATTCCAACTAGAATTCTTGCGAAATCGTCCTCTAGTTTATACGTCATTTTCACTAACTTGATCTGTTTTTCCCATGTATCAAAATCACTAGATACGCCGTCGAATTCGTTCACTAAGTCAGCGATCGTTGTCAAATTCATTCTCATTTGCACGAGCGGCTGCGCCGTCGCGCCACTGCGACCGTCCTCCGTCGCGCGCGCCCGACTCGCTGTGCTCTCGCGGCCATTATCCGCCGCGCGCGCAGGATTCGTCGCGTCCGCGTGTTCGTTGGCACGCAACATCGCAATCTCGCGTCGGGCCAGCTCGAGCTCGCGTTCGGCCATTTCTTTCTCGCGTCGGTTTATATCCATTTCTCGTTCGTATAAATCGCCTCCGCATCGAGAATCCTTCTCATTGTTGTCCTTCAACCACTCGCCATCGGGATCAGCTTCCATAATGCGGGTAATCAGCTCGGCCTTTGTCCCCGACGTAGATAACGCGAGTACTCTCGCTCTCTCTTTCAACTCTACTAGCGTATACTCACTCGGTTGAGGCATGATTTTCGTCGATCACTTCACCTTATCGTTCTCGCTATCTTACACACAGCGTCTTCCGCGTCGTGCTCGTCGTTCGTCGCTGCTGCGTCGCACACCTCACGCGCAAAAACACCACCACACCTTGTTCCGGCACTTCTATATCTCACGATCGTTCTTCTCTTCGCGCACCGAGTTCTTACGTCGTCCTTGATGCTCGTCGTTCGTCGTCACTGTGTCGTATTTTACTGACTCTTAGACTCACGCACCTTCCTTTAATATCCCGGCTGAGCCCCCAGATTTGGTATTAAACACATATATTTTAGTTTACAAAAGGATAGGTTTTATTAAGAGATACAGTAATACCAACGCAGGACACGTCTTCACTGCTCAACGAGCTTCTTTCCACTCCCTTCTCCCCTCCGTCCCTTTCTCTTTTCCCCCTCCATTCCGCAACGGAGAAAAGTCGCTCGCAATCGCTTCGCAATCCACATACACGCACGCACAGCCATTACACAAACATAGCACCTTGAAATGATTGCTTCCTACATAATATATCTCGGAATTTAATGTCCACAGATCATAATAAATGTCGCGCTCAAGATATCCTATAAAATATTTATAACATTACTGTCATATAACCGGAATTACATCAAAAATATGGCGCTCTATCAAATAGATTTATAAATAAAAAATGTATATCTTTCTAAAATATTTTTCAAAATTTCTAAGTTTTTTTTATAAAATCTGAATATTACAATGACAAAAATAAATAAAAGTAATTTATTAAAATCATTGGTTATAGTTAAGAGGTAACGATTGCTTATCGGAGCTTTCTTTTTCAGTTTATATTTTGTTTGAATGAATATAAATACTCATTAAATATTCATAGTTTTTTTGTGAATGAATATTTTTTGAAAACTCAAAATTTTGAATGAATATATGATTACATTTTTTTTTATGTGAAAATTTTGAATAAATTTTGAATATAATTTGGAGCTCAATTACAAATTTTTATATTCATTGGGCATACTAGTTCCACATAATGACCATGATCATTGTGGTCGTGATCAAAACGTCAATGACGCCATTAATCGTGATCACGTCAAGCTCACGACGCTCATGGTTCGTACGTCGGTCGGTGTGATAATTTCGTCATCTGCTATTCTTTTTGCGCGGACATTTTGTTTTGTTCTCGGTGTTATAAATTTTTAATATGAAAAGAATCTCTTTATATGATCCGGAAAGAGATAAACTACTTCTCATTCGTCATCAGAACTCGATGAGTCTTCAGATTTATATTTTTTACAGTGCAGTACTTTAATGGTATCCTTGTTATAGAGACTGTTTACACATAAAACTCGTTCCACTTAAGATTTCGCCTGCAGAGCCCGCAAGCTAGTGGAACAGCAAATATTGTGAACATGGTTGTTGCGGATTTTAAATGGAGCGCACCCTTGATAGATTCAAGTAATATACAGGGTGCCTAGTAAAGACTACGCTTAGAAGATAGATTTTTGAGATTATTTTTATACGAAAATCCGAACACCAAAATGTCGAGGCTATATATGTAGTTTTAGAATTATAAGCATTTAAAGTTAACGAATGATAAGTTCACTCGTTGAGATGTGATATAACGCAAAATGTGATATCTTAACACATGAACTTTAGATGTTATGATTCGCCAATTTTAAATGTTTATAATTAAAAAACTTATAGCCTTGATATTTCGTATTAAGATGTTTGTCTCAAAATAATCACAGAAATCTATTTTTAAGCGTTCTCGGATATATATGTTCCTTATTTGTTTGCATAAAGATTTAATGAGATAAGATTAAAAATACAAATGATATGCATTGAATATGCATTATACATTTACAGAAAAATTGAAATTTCCAAATTATTTGTAATACTGATTATAAATTGTTTTACTTTCACAGTTTACTGTGTACATCAAGAATTTTAGGTTTGCAAATTAAAAGAAGCTTATATACTTTATTATTTTTTTATGTTTAACAATGTGTTAATAAATTGTTTGCATAGTTTATATAGTTATATTTTTTTGACAGTTTGGTGAAACTGAAGCGGAAACGGAAGAGAAAAGTGGTCTTTATTTGCCATCTGGAACACCTTACCATACAACAAGAAGACACACAGTTGGACCTGGTGATGCAGTGCACCAATCTCCTTCGTCATATCCTTATCATCATATGTCAGGCTATCAAACTTTACGGCCTCTTCCTGTTCTTCAGTGTAATATGGATCCTCAAGTTTTACCACATACCAATTTACCATTAAATCTTCCCTTAGTTCAACATCAGCCGCCACAAAATTTCCAAATAAAGGATCAACATTTATTGAAACCACCTCCTGTAATGGGTGCTAGTAAGTTTTATCTTGTTTTATGAAAGATATTTTAAAAATTTATTTTTAAAAATAAATTCTTTGTTTCATTAATTGATTAGTAATAAATATATTACTGAACCTCTTTTGTCAGTATAACGTTATTACATTCAGAACTAATTTCCATAAAATTATATTGTTTTGTGATATATTTTTGCGTTATATATGTGCGACCTATTTAAATGATAATTGACTTGTATTAGATATTTCTGTAAAATTAATTTAGTATTAAATGATAATATAATATAAATACATGTGCGAATATTTTTGTATAATATTAGATTATGTTATAATATGAATTTAACATGAATACTTGAAATTTGTAAAGATATTTTTATATCCCATATTAAAAAATAAATTCATAATTAAAAATATTTTTTTGAATAAATTGTCGATTGATAATAAAAAACAATAAAGTAAGAAGCGTATGCATACGCACGCGCACACTTATAAACATATACAGGGTGGGGCAAAAGTCCCGCTACCATTTTGATTGCGCGCCATCTTGGTTATGTGACGTATAGCTCAGTTTAGCTTTAACCGTTGTGTTGTGTAGACGTCCAAATTTTATAATGGATAAATATACGCCACAAGAACGAGCAGAAATAGTGACAATATTTATATTTAATATTTAAATCGCGAAATGGCGATTTAGCATGGCCAGCCAGATCTCCGGATTTAACAGCACCAGACTTTTTCTTATGGGGTTTTTTAAAATCAAAAGTTTATGTGAATAAGCCCCAAACGATTCAACATCTTAAAGACAATATTCGTCACGCAATTGAAGAAATTCAGCCTGAGATGTTGCACGATGTCATGAAAAATGTCTTAAAAAGAGCCGAAAGTTGCATAGCGAATCGCGGTCACCATTTAGCCGATATTCTTTTCTAATCATAACGCAAAAAAAATGTAAAGACCAAATAAACATTGTATGAAAACCAAACTGACTTATCTTTTCTTTGAACAAAGTTATAGGCAATCAAAATGGTAGCGGGACTTTTGCCCCACCCTGTACGTATGGAGCGAGAGTGAGGGGGGGGGGTGAGAGGGAGGAACAGGAGGAAGGGAGGGATGTGCGCACGCGCACAACACAAGCACATACGCATACGGACTTAAATAAAATTATAAAAATATAAAATATTTATAACAAATGAATTAATTCGTTAAATACACATATAAGTATTGTAGATAAAAAATATATACATATATACATACTTTAAAACCTTAGGAAAAATTGTAGGAAATGGTAGACATCGGAAGAAAAAACTTTTGTTGACGAACTTATGTATTTAAAACATTTTTAAGAAGATACACTATACGACCGCTTTACAATATTGCACGTCTGACAATTTTAATTCAAATTTTTGCTTTTTATTGTTCTTTTGAAAAAACAAATCTAAATAATGTAAACTATATTTGGCAGACATCACACGCAACCGGACGAGTAGCTCGTTAAAAGTCGATTTTTCTTCCTCTCTCTCTGTTTTTTCACTTTAATTCTTTTTATCTTCTCTTTCTCTCTCTGTATGCTAGTGTCTATATATATTTTACGTTTGTGCATATGTTTATAAGCAAAAAATTATTTATTATGTTAATTTTATATTTATTATACGAGTTTTATCCCATTTTAATTTAGTTTAGGTAAATATCTTGTAATATATGGAATATATTATATATACGGAAAAACGTTTTAGATGAAAATGGAATGGTTTCTACGATTACATATTTTGACGACAAATAGAATGATGAGATGAATCAAATGATATAAAGAAAACATAATTCTTATTAAAAAATTATCTATTTTGCTTACCTTTTTTTAAATCAATTATGTGTTTTTCTTTATATCAATTGATTCATCTAATTATTCTGTTTATAACAGTGTTAAAGCGCCATTATTAAAACATTAATAGCTTATGAGATATTAATAAAATATTTTATGTCAATAGTGATAGAATAAAGTATAAAATATCTCGTGAACTATTGGTTTGTTAATTCTTCAACCTAAGTACTTTTATATGCAAAATAATTAGAGGAATCATATCATATATTATATTTAAAAAATCATATAATTCTATATAAAAAAAGGCCTTAATATTTTTTTGGCGTCTTTGGAAAAAAACCTGGAAAAAAACAACATGACCAAAATACGTCCCCCTTGAATCTATTTCATTTTCTTCTGAAATATTTTTCTATATTATTCGAGATATTTATTAAGGTATGTTAAAATGAGGCATTTTGTACATTAAAATTAACTTTATTTTACTAGATCAATTGTATATTACAAAATTTTGATTTATTTGCATTGATTAGTGTAAATATTATTACTTTATCATATATGTTTACAGCCGGAGGTTTTGGTAGAAGAGCTTCAGATGGTGGAGCAAACCTTCATATATTTCATCAACAACATAGTAGTAACATTAACAATGATGAAGATAATGGCTGGAGTCAACCTGGTAGTAGGGAACAATTACAGCCAGTAAGTAAATAATTAAAAATTTTATATTTTATTGACTTAAGCAATGGAAAGGAAATATTATAACATACAAGGTATTTGGAAAATAATGATAAATCTTCTTTCGCATAAGGGCAACTAAACTGAGAAGAAAAATCCTTTACCATTTTGCGATTTTCGCAATAGTTAACAAGATATTAATTGCTAAAAGTTGCCGAAAATTGATCTTCAATCATTTTTTACTCAAATGCTATCAACTTTAAAATACTATCAACAAAAAAATTGCAATAGACGAAAATTGTTTATTTTCTTCTCATAGAACTCTACGAATTTTTTTCAGAAATTTTTATCAACTTTTTAGTACTGCATTTTCTCATTTTTATCAACATGAGAAAATCCAGTATTAAAAAATTCTAAAAAAATTCTTAGAGCTCTATATATGAGAAGAAAATAAACAATTTTTGTTTCTTGCAGTTTTTCTGTAAAGTTCATAGTATTTGAGTAAAAAATTATTGAAGACCAATTTTCAGCAATTTTTAGCAATTAATATCTTGTTAACTTTATTGCGACAATTGCAAAATAGTAGAGGACTTTTCTTCTCAGTTTAATTCATTCTGCCCCTTTACCAAAGATTTACCATTATTTTCCAAACACCCTGTATATAGAATAATGAAATAAAACTGTAACTAAATAATAAGGAAGAGACTATATACATACAGAGTAGGCCATTTTAATCTTTCCATGCTAATAATTCGAAAAGGGTGCATTTTAGGGAAAAATGTTTCAGATAAAAGTTTTGTGACTTCGAGAAGAACATAAGACGGTATCATTGGTTTGACTTTGGGTGGCGTTATCAAGATCACTTTGAATTTTTTCAAATAATCAAATGCCTGATGAGAGCCAAATACTGGATGCACATGTGTGATAAATTTATTCCATGATTATCAAAGTACAAAGATAAATGTTTCAATCCTATTTCGGATCCTTCTCAATATCGCTAACTAAAATTAAATTAACTTAGAGATCTTAAGTCATACAAACATATTATATTAAATAAATTATGCAAACATGTATGTATCTTGTGTTGTAGATGTGATAAGATTTTGTTATCCTAGCATATTTTTATTATAATAGAGAATTAAATGTCAAACCGCATAGATCATTACAATCCTTTTTATCCTTGTTGAATTTTCTTGTTATCAATAATTATCAGATTAAATGATACAAGCACAAAGCTAAAAATTGTTCATAAAAATTCTGTATCAATTCTGTTGTTCGCTTACATATGATCCAATTTGAATTTTTTAAATGGAATCCTCAATTTTTTATTGCATATTCTTGTAGCTTGCCTCGAGAGCTTTTCAAAACACATAATAAAATATTTTTTCATTTAAGCTCCTAACTAGGCGGCCATGTTGGAATCGTTCACGTCAGAAGCGAGGAATGACGTTACTTATGCTGCAAGTCATTTGTAAATAAAGACAATTGGATAAATTTAAATGACGAGATTGCTTTAAAATAGCTGTAAAAATGGGTAGAAACTATTCTTTTCTCCCTTAATAGTTAATGGTTGTAAAAGGCAGGTAAAGTGAGATTAATTTCGGGCAGAAACATACGGTTTGAGTAGTTGTTGAAATAAATGAAATATACGCTTTTACATAAAAAAATTCCAGAATAACTATAGTTTCTGCTCATTTTTAGGACTTTCATTAGTACGAAAAACGTCACATTTTCACAATTAAGCAAATAATAACGAAATGGCTTGCAGCATAAATTTGTCAAAACGTCACTTTTCCATGTGTATAAGTTCAGCCATTTATCATGGCGAGACGCTGTAACACACACACAAACACGAACCCATGTACATTTGTTCGCTTTTGGCGCACTGAGAACACGTGTACATAGGCTCGTGCTTGTTTGTATGGCTACCGCTTTTGCCACACTTTGCCAGGCCGCTGATTGATTTTGAATCGCATGCTGACTAGTTAGGGGCCTTAAGTACTTTGCGAATTATATAGCTTGAAAGTTGCAGCACTGCCGGCATTAGCATTACCCAAGGTGTCCGACCGACAACTAAAAGCTTTTAAATATTGTTCAGGATCATGACCATAACATTTGTCAAGATTAAGGTCATTGAATATACCTCTTATTTTTGCACTAAAAAATCATTTTTACGTAAAAATAAAAATAAGAGAAACAACCTCCATGATTTTGATCTTGATAAATGTTATCTAGGTCTATAATCCTGAACAACATTCAAGAGGTTTTATCCGTCGAACACCTTGAATAATGCTAATGCCGGCGGTGTTATAACTTTCAAGCTTTATAACTCGCAAAGTACTTAATAAAAAAATATTTTATTATAGTGTTTTGAAAAGCTCTGAAGATAAGCTATAAGAATATGCAATGAAAAATCGGAGATTCTATTTAAAAAATTTAACGTGACCTTGCCCTGATCTTGACAATGCCACCCAAGGTTAAACCAATGATACCATCTTATGTCCTCTCCGAAGTCATAAAACTTTTGTCTGAAATATTTTTCCCTAAAATGCACCCTTTTCGAGTTATTAACGTAGAAAGATTTAAATGGCTTAATCTGTATATGCACACACACACACACGCGCGCGCGCATGCACACCCACACTCACACTCACACTGCAATTTTAATCTTTAATTTTTAAACTTTGTGTTTACCAAAATTCCGTTTAAATGATAGTTTTTAAACGATTGCTATTTAAAGTTGTGCAATTAGTATACTAGACACGCAAGTTAGGCATAGCGTAAAATGTATTACCTCTATTATATCAATAATTTATTTATCTATGAATTTTTCTCAGTAAGCAAGAAACATTTTGAAACATTCCAAAAACATTGCCATTGTAACAATGTTATAACATTGCTGTATGCTGCTGGAATGTTTCAGAATGTTTTTTTCTTACTAGGTTATTTGTATGTGTAAAATTTTAATGCACATAATACATACTTATTATCGGACCAAAGGAAATCCATTTGTATTTCGAAAATGGCGGTCGATGGATATTAAATATTTGAGCTATAATAATAGGTGATTAATTTATTAGACCATACATTGGACCGAACAGAATAAAAGGAGATACTTATATTAGGTTTTTAACAGAAAATTTATCGGACATATTTGAAGATTTATCAATATATGTTCGATGTATTAACATGATGAAATACCATCTCATAGCAGTAGGCTTGCGAGACATTATCTCAACATAAAGTTTTCTAATTATATTCTTGAAGCTTCCACGGATGCTTTCTGTATAAAAGTTATGCGTTTCGCGGGTTTTCTTCGTGTCCAAATCCATTCTTGAAATGCCAACGTTTCGTGAACCTTGCAGTCCACTTTATCAGGGCGAAGAGCAGCTTGATACTGAGCTGTTCCTCTGGGCCGTTTTATACGCTACTTGTTGGAGTGGTGGGGGGAAAAGAAGAGAATTGTGGATGGGGGGGGGGGGGAGAAAGAGGAGAGGAGGAATCGGTCAGTCCTCAATAACCGGGAGAATGGCCTTCCACATCTTATTTATGTTGTAGCCATTATCTCTATTTATATTGTTAGGATGTTTCTGTATCTCTATGGCTTCTGTATACTTTCTTGGAAAGTATAATGTTGGCTATTGTGGTCGTTTTATCAAACAGTATTTAATGTCCCGTTTCGATGCTGTGTTCTGATAATGCTGATTGCGTGACGTGTTTTAGCCTGACATCACGTTGGTATTCTTTTATCCGTAGGTTGACCATTCTCCCGGTTTCTCTAATGTATACTTGCCCACAGGAACAAGGTATTTTGTATACTCCTGTGGAGCTGAGTGGAGGTCTTTGATCTTTAGGATTTCTTAAGATTTGTCCTATCTTTTTGGATGGTTTAAAGATAGTTCGGATATTGTGTTTGTTTAATATCCTGCCAATCCGATCCGTTGTTCCTTTGACATATGGGAGAATGGATAGAGAGAGTCTTATCGTCTGGTTGTGTGTTGAGAGAGGTTGTGTGTTGTCTTGTTTGCATGTTTATTAATAGTTTTAATTATGTCTTTTTTGTTGTGTCCGTTTTTCTGTAAGGCTAGTTTTAAGTGGTTGAGTTCTGTCTGTAGATGTTCTTTGTCAGAGATGGAGAAAGCTCTATGTACAAGTGAGTTGATTGCAGACTGTTTCTGTAATGGGTGGTGATGCGACTCGGCATGTAGGTATCTATCTATGTGTGTTGATTTTCTGTATACTTGATGGCCTAAGGTACCATCAGCTTTCTTAGAGTCAAGAACATCTAGAAAGGGGAGTTTTCCGTTTTCCTCTACGTCTATAGTGAAGTGGATATTTGGGTGTTGATTGTTGAGGAAAATAAGGAATTTACGGAATAAGAAATTTTCGGTTCTGCCGTGTCCATATCACGAATGTGTCGTCTACATAACGGAACCAAACTTCTGGTTCTTAGATGTTTTCCCGAAGGCCTCTTTTTCAAAATACTCCATGAAGATGTTGGCAATTACAGAAGAAATAGGAGAGCCCATTGCTGCTCCTGAAGTTTGTTCATAAAATTGGTTGTTATAGGAGAAGTAAGTGGTTGTTGAGCAGTGCTCTATTAGTGGGATGAGGTCGGAAGGGGGGGGAGGAGGAGATTTTCTAATTCTTAAATTGGTAGATAGCTCTATTATATAGTCGGTGATTTGATTCTATTTGAACAAATTTGATTCTATTTTCTTTGAGGATGTTTAAGAAGCATCTCACAAAAACTGGAAACTGTAGAAGGTTTAGAAGAACACTTTTGCTATGCAATTACAATTATTAAGGTGAAAGACAACGCATTCTATAGTTACTGATTACAATGTACATCATGGACATGATTTAAATGAGATAAAGTTGAAATCTTAAACAGTAATAAGAATTTTACTGGGCTTTACATTTGAAAATTCAACAATGAGAAACAGAAATAATGACTGTTACGATCATTATTACGGCCGGAAACGTTTGCATGCCCGAATCAAATGACTTCGTCCATATGCGTCATTACTCTGGTAATAGCTCCTCTTAGGTAATCAAGCGTTTATTGGTCTTTCGTCCAACAACGTCCCATACGTAGTAATCAAAAGGATTAAGATCTGGGAAGATAGGTGGCCACATGAGGTTATGTGATCATGCAGATTCTCGGATATCCAATCTTGCATCGTCATGGCTTTGTGTGAAAGAGCAGAGTCCTGTTGGAATATGACCTCTCACGACGCACACTATCTATCCAAGGAAAGAAGTTGGGTGGCATAATGCGTGTCCTTCATTGTTCATCACTCCCAAAACCATGACAGTTACCGGAAACTTTGTGTGCATAACATAAGGAACATCTGAGGAATTCGCACATAGCCATCTATCATTTCGTCGGTTTATTTTTTGATCCTGGTCAAAATTTTTTTCGTCAGAATAAAACCAGAGCATATCCGGGATTTCAAGATGTTTTAACTTGTTTAAAAGTCATTATGCCCGGATGAATCGCTATTCTCGAATTTGTACCGACATAAACTTTGCGCATTACGTAGGACTTGTACCGGATGTCTTCGTGGACAATGCGACGAATTGTGCACTCAGAAACTTGAAGGATTTTCGATATGGCGCTTTTGAACTTTGAAGTGTCTTCATCAATAATGTCTTGGACTTGCTGCACAAAGTGCAGCAAGTGATGTTCTAACTCTATCTGAACGTGCCTCATGTTTTTTGCGCTTAGCAACACTTTCTACATTGTCATCAGATGCTTCTCGATGAATTTAGTGAACAAACGATCGGGCGACTTTCAAAAATTGGGAGATTTCAAAATTGCTGTGATTCGCGTGTATAGCGATGATAACAGCGTGTCTTTTTATTTTCTGAGCCAACTTATTGTCCTCCATTTATGATCTGAAAAGAAAAAAAAGAAAAAAACTTGCTGCGAAAACTTAACAGGCACATATGTGAGTGTCCTCAAATACCTGACGCACCCTGTAGTTTATGTTTGTTTATATGTTTTATCTTGTAGTTTTGATTTTGATCGTTTTGTCTTTAATTTTAAGCTGTCTTTATTTTATTGTTATTTGCTGACATGTAACCATCAGATTGGAATCCTCTTTATCCATTATTTTTATATTTGAAAATATGTGAAATGCAATTTTTACAATGTTTTTTACTGAATACACATTTGCCTACTCCAGGTTGATCATTCTATTTAATTTTTATTCCTGTACAATTCGTTATTTACTTAATATTATATTATTTTAAGGACTAAATTGAGAATAAATAACCATCCAACTTTCTAACTGGTTGTGAGATAAAAATAACTTCTCCGCCAGGAGTATGTATAATAGTTTTGACTATAGGACAGCGTTGACGGAAGAATGTAGTTCGCAATACTTTAAACGGTAACAAAAGGTTTTATATGCGCTGAAGAAGGCTAGAAAATAGCCGAAATGTACGTGTTTATTATTCGATGATATTGATCTTTTATATTCCGTTTTATTATATAATGATATTGAAGTCAGTAAATGACTTACCAGACAAACTAATAAGGTTAGATAAACTAATAATTTTACAATTTATGGCGCACAAATAACAGCGTCGATTTCTAAGCCCTATTCCACATTTGTTAGTTCGTTAAATAAAAGGAGTCTATATTATTTTTCATTGTCAAAGTTTTAATATTTTTAAAATATTGCAGGAACTTATATAAAACATTATTATGTGTTGTCTAATTATTTTATTTTTAACTCATTCCTGTAGTAGCGTTGATAAAAAATTCTTTTGTAACAAATAAGTCCTATCCAGTTAATAAATTTTAAATCTCTTTTAAAATTAAAAAGTGGTATGTTCAGATTTTATACATAATTATTAGTTTGACCTTGGGTGGCATCGCCAAAATCAGGTCAAGATTAAATCGATTTTTTTTAATGAAACATCCTATTTTTGATGCCAGAATCTAATAGAGCGCTCTGACGGACGTATACTCAAGATCATATATCTCCGTGAAAATACAGCGGATTAATTTGAAATTTTCAACATTATATACTTTAAGAAAATGTGATTTTTGAAAAATCGATTTTTTGAAATTTCTGACAATAAGTATACTCCCTTAATATATACATGTACGCTATTTTATATACTTTTTAATTATTTTATTTAAACGGAATTTTGACAAAAAGTTACTTTATTTGGTACCAAGAATCTCTTAATACTCTGCATGAGATTATTTTGGAACTCTTTGTTATATTATTTTGTATTAGCCTTTGTCTACTATCAAATGTTATGTAAAGTATATTCTATATAAAGTATAATCATGTTATGTAAGGTATATTCTATATTAGCATACAAGTTCGAAATTTTTAATAAAAGTACGCAAATAGTTACAGAGTGGTAGTTCAGGATTAGTACCATGTGCTCAATCATTAAATGTTGCTGTCAATACTGCGACTGGAGACGGGAGTAATAACAACAGTGGTAATAATAGTGGAAGTAGTGATAGAAGAAGAAGAAGTGGCCTTAGCACTGTTATGCAGCGACCAGGTATGATGTAGTTAAAAATTGAATAATGTGTTGAGTTTTTTCTTTCCGACAATTATATATAATTCTGATTGTATGGCTTGTAGTATTCTTTAATATTTATACGTTGTTCAAAATTAGCACTATGTCCCAAGCTGTGCTTTTTCTGTTATTATTCATTGTTTCTGTTATCTATTTTTCTTTATAAATGCTTTTATTGCATATCAGAGTTGCTGAGAAAGTATGTGATAGCACATTGAAACAGTAGATAATAATACAGTTATTCTGAATGATGATTTATGATTGATAATATTACTTAGATAACACGTTCAACATCTATAGAACATCTATAAACGTCTATAAATATTTTTAGAACATTTTATGAACGTCTTATAAATTCTGTGCTATATTGATAATTATAATTAGAAGTAGTAATATCGTACACAATAGCTTTGCAAAAAAAATATCTTTATTTAAATATATGATAAGTTTATTATAAAAAATTGAAAAAATCTTGTGTCATTTTGTATTTAATAATATATAAAAAATAATATAATGTAAGTAAAAGAGATTTATAATTGAAACAATATTATATACAATTTAATATTATTTAAAACTGCACTTCTTGTATTGTTTTGAACATATTTATTTATAGAAGTATGAAGTAAGGATGTAAAAAAATTGTGCTAATTAAGAAAATATAAAATTAAATATATAAACATGTACAAAATACAATTCTTTTACTTCATTATTTGATATACAACAAGGTATGATTTCTTAAAAAATTTAAAAACAATATACGTCAAATACATATAATAAAGAATATCTAATGTTACTAGAGATAAAAAACTGGTTTTTTTCTTACTTTAGAACAAAGTAAAAAACAGGTTCTTACAGTAAAAAACTATTTTTAATCGAAATGATAAAATTCATGAAAAATGTATG